GTGTAGAGCACCACCCCGCAGGACCACACGTCCGCCTGCTTCGCGTCGTAGCGCCCGTCCCTGTTGTGCAGCACCTCTGGCGCCATGTAGGAGAGCGTCCCCACCTTGGACCGCGCACAGCTGCGAGCGTCGTGCTTGGAGTACCTGGCGGGAGGGGTAGGAGGAGGGGCGGGCTGGAGGGACAACAGGGCGGGACGGGGTACATCTTGCCCGCCATCGGCCTCAAACGACCAGGTATGTGCCCCTATGCCCCTCACCCCCGCATCACCCCGCGCCCCGTCGCTGCGCGCGGGGCCTGGGCCTCACCCAAAGTCGCAGATCTTGACGAGCGGCCGCGGCAGCCCCGGGATGACCTGCAGCAGGGTGTTCTCCAGCTTGATGTCCCGGTTGGCTATGCCCTGGGGGGTAGGCCAGGGCAGGAGGGGGGCAGTGCAGCGGAGGATGGGGAGGCAGACAAGTGGCGGGCTCGTTACGAGTGGCTTCCAGCGAGCGGGGGGCGTCGTAGGGCTGCTGCCACTCATTGCTGCTGCCGCTGCCAGCGCTGCGGCGGCAGAGGTGCTAGCGTCACAACCACACGCACACGCAGCGCAAGGACCACGGCCAGCTGGTTCAAGGGGGGCCACCTCGCCACTGCTGCATCGCACCCCTCGGGTGCGGCGGCGACAGCACGGTGCCTCGGCTGAGACTCTGCGGTCAAGACCACCCTTCTTGGCCGCGCCTCCTCCTGCAGACACAGCACTCCACACAAGACTGCAAGGCAGCTCAGCTGCGCCATCGCACGCACGCCGATTGTACAATGCATACACACAAACACATGACTGCACACGCTTGCGAACACTGCCACCCACTTGCTGGCACGACCACCCACTCGCCCATCTGCCCACCGCGCACCTTTTTGTGGCAGTAGTCAACCGCAAGCAGCAGCTGCTGGAAGAACCAGCGCGCCAGCGGCTCCTTGAGGCGCTGGCGCTGCTGCACGTAGGAGAAGAGGGAGCCCCCGCTGGCGTAGTCCATGACGCTGGGGGGCGGATGGCGGCGAGTTGGGCAAGAGGAGGGGTTTTTTTATCAGGAGGGGAACGTGTGGGTGCACGCGAGCTTGTGCCTGCTGCGTACTCGGGCCAGGGTTGCGCGCACCCAAACAGTGCGTGAGAAAACGCACAGATTCGACACGCGCCAGCGGGCATCGTGCCGGCGGACTGTGCGAGCGCATCAAAGCACGCCGCGAGCAGAGAACTGGCACGCCTGCCGCCCCTTGCACCTCGCCAGCGTGCCCTCGACGGCCATCTTTCGGCTATAAACCGGCGTGCCGGGCTGGCACGGGCCCCTGCATCCGCTGCAGGGCCTGCTCTCACATGTTGATGTGGCGTGGCGACAGGAACACCTCCCGGAACTGGACCACCTGCAACGGCCACGGGGATGAGACGCACCCACACAGGACAGCCCGCTGAGTACTGCAGCCGGGAAGACGCTGCCATGGCGGCCGGGACACTGCAGGCAGGGACGCTGCAGGCAGGGACGCCTCAGCGCACGCCGAGGCGGGGCGGGGCGGGGCCCCAAGGCGATGGTGTAGCGGGCGGTGCGGCGCACATGGGGGTGCCGCAGGATGGAGTGGTTCAAAATCTCTGACTCCACATAGCGCCCTTGAAGGTACTCGCGCTCCTGTGGCGCGAAAGCATGGCAGCGACCACCTCCGTCGATGCAGTTTGGTCCAGCGGGCGTGGTCGCCTGGGCGGCTGCTCAGCAGGCGTCGGCCCCGCCGCCCAGGTGACCCTGGGCAACAACGGATGCAGGTTGCCGTTCCATCCTATTCCTGCTATTGAGCGGCCGAGGCACCCACCATCTTCTTGATGGCGACGAGCTCCCCTGTCTCGCTGTTCTTCGCCAAAACAACGCAACCGAAGCTGCCTGCGGGCGTGCCAAAGTGATCGTATCAATAAGAGCGCGTGCGAAGGCGGCAGAGGCCAAGGGCGGGCCTTTCAAGCGCATTTTGCGCGGACCCGGCGCCCCATGCTTGCCTTTGCCCACTTCTTGGACAAATAAAAATTTGCTAGCACCCATTTCACTGAATTCCGTCGTCATCTTGCCGCGGCGGAGGCTGTGCGCAGATCGCCTGTGTTGGCTTGCAAGGCTTTTCAAGGGGTACGGGGGCCTGCGTGCCCGGCGTTCAAGCTGATAAGCAGAGCGTTGATGTCAGACACGAAGACATCGACAGCAGCTCTTCTTTGGTGAATGGGGCACCCCGTCACCCGCCCACCTGACAAGTGCCGAACCACTGCCTGCCAGTGGCGGCCCCGCAGCAACTGGTTGAAGGCCGATCAGTGGAAGCACATATGAACAGCATCAATCAAGATGCATGCATGCTACGACGGAATCTTGTCTGAAACCATCATACCTTCAGACAACCGCCCTGCGGCAGCACCGCTCTCTGGTCTTTGTTGTCGCGCCAGAGTCGTCCTAACCTTGGACTGCAGCGCAAGTGGGCGATGCGCCCCAGCGCACTACGCCACTGGGGCCTCGCGGCCATCGTCGCCATGTCCCTGACGTCACTGGCCATCCTGGGCGCCCTGTGGCCGCGCACATACATCTCCGAGAGGGCCGCCCAGCCAGGGCGTACGGGCGCTTCCAGCCCTCGCCTGCACAGCAGGCGCCGACAGCACCTGCATCCAGCCGTGCACGCACCTGCGCCCGTGCCCGCAGCTAACGGCTCCGGCCTTAGCCTCGACGTTGGCCCCGGCGCCGGCCGTGGCGGCCTGAGAGCAGAGGTCCCTGACCCCGAGATGCGGCGCCAGCGCCTCCTGCTGGACGCATACCTTGGCAGCGCCGCGTTCGCTGCAGCGCGCGACAGAGTGCTGCGGGCGCCCCCGCACCGCCAGCGGGGCGTGCTGGTCAACGCCGGCGGGCGGAAGCTGCTGACGCACCTGGTCGTGACGCTGCGCGTGCTGCGGCACCACCTCAACTGCACCCTCCCTGTGGAGGTGGCGTGGCACGGTGCGGCCGCACACCCGCTCAAGCAAGCTCGCATCACCGAGAATGTATCTCCAGCCTAGCCCGCGCACCAGCCGCTTGCTGCCCCTTACCATATACTGCTAAATGCTAACACGCGGCTTCGCAGCACGGCAAGCGCTGGCGCAACAGAGGGCGTCGTGCTGTGTTGCTTGCGTTGAGCCACCGCGATTGCTGCGCGGCACTGCTTTGTGACTCCACCACCTGTACCTCTCTTCAAGTGCAGGGCCCGATGAGATGGATGCCGCCACGCTGGCAGCACTCGACTCCCATTTTGGACCCGTGACCGGCTTTGACGCCCTCGCGCAGCCGCTGGAGCAGCACCACCGCAACAGGTGCCGGCACTGCAGCTTTTTGCCACGTGCAGGTTTGTCCTGCACCTGCCTGGCATGCCTGGCCCAGTGCCCTCAAAGTCAGTTGAGGATCAACTCATTCTGCACACCTCCCCCTCAACACCAGGGCCACCTCATCCCAGGGTCGCCCCGCCAAGCTGGGCCCCTGGCCCACCAAGGTGCTGGCGCTGCTGCGCAGCTCATTCCGCCATGTGCTGCTGCTCGACAGCGACTCGCTGCCCCTGGCCGACCCCTCGCGCCTGTTTGACGACCCATTGTACCAACAGAGAGGCGCCCTCTTCTGGCCAGGTGTGCACAATCCGCACAACGCTGCGTGCTGCTGTGTGATTGTTGGCCATACAGATGCGCAGGCGGCACGCCTGCTCTCTTGCACTTCCCAGCCATACATAGCAGTGGTGGCTGGGAGGGTCGTCGACAGGGCAGCCGCTGTGGTGCATTCCGCGTTGGCCGGTAGGTCTCTCTTGTTGACGGTTTGCTGGCACTGCTGGACCCACTGAATGCAGACTTCTGGCCCAACTGGGTCCAGGATGACGCCTACCGCCTCCTGGGGCTCAACGCCACAGCAGCTAAGGTGTGGCCGAGGGGGGGGGGAGTGGCAGGGCTGCGCAGTGCGGCTTGGCATCGCCAGTGCCAGCATCAGCTCATTTGCCATTGCCGCGCTGTGCATGTCGTTTCAGCACCTGCCTCGAGTCGAGTCAACGTTTGAAGTTCGCCTGCACTTGCATGGTGGTATCACCCGCTGTGCTTTTGCGCGCACGTGCGTGCAAGCAGGCGCTGCTGGCCGAGGGCAAGGGCTGGGGGCGGCGCGACTGCGAGAGCGGGCAGCTCCTGGTTGACAGGGGCCGCCACCTTGACGCCCTGGAGGTGGCCTTCTACGCCAACAGCTTCGACGACGTCCTGTACTCACAGGTCGCAGTGGCTAAGCTGCTGCAGGGGGGGGGCTCCAGGATGCAGTGCGGCAGCGTCACTGAACAACGGCCACCTTGCGGTTTAGAACTTTGAGGGGGGCGTTATTATGGCCTCCTCATCATTGTCCTTGGATGAGCATTCAGCAGGATCGCAGTCGTGCGGGCACCTGCCATAACGCAGGTACTGTACTTTGCGGCATCCCACGCGAGTAGTGGCTGTACCGTATTGCATTCTCCTGCCCATCACGTGAGCACTCGGGTCACCCCCGTGCGTGCACAAAACACGGCTCTTCTCATGTCCCCCATGCCCCATCTACTGTCTCCCCTCTTGTCTCAGGTTCACGGTGACAAGGACCTCTTCCCCCTGGCCTTCGCTGCTGCGGGCAAGGGCCGGGAGTACGCCCAGGTGCCCGCAATGTTGCAGCCCAGGACAAAAACATCAAGTACAGTAACAGCAGCTGCGAGAAGCTGACTTGTGGTGTGCTTCTGGTGGGATGTGCCCTGTGCAAGCACGCTAACCTCGATTGTATTTGCTCATGCACGTGGCACGCAGGTGGTCGTCCCACCTGGCGGTGTCTTCCGCTGGGGCAAAGGGCAACTGGAGGTCAAAGGACAGAAGACCGCAGTTGACGGCTGGCAGCTGGTGGGGGCGATACAGCACGACAATTGGGGAGCGCCGGCCTTCTTCCACAGGTACGTGGGTGAGGGGCTACAGTGAACGGCGGCGAGGGCTCAGGCCTGTGCCCTGCAAGTGCCCCCAAGGGAGCATCGTGTCTGCACGCGTGGTTCAATAACCTTGGGCAGTCGGGCCGCCATCTCGAGGTGCCCGCACCCCGCAGTTATCACCGGGCCTGGTTCCTGAATACCGTTTGTTGCACCGTGCCCTTCCTGTCGCCCACGCCCAGGACCATGAACAAGCCAAGCCTGGACTCTGAGCAGTGGCCCGCTGAGCTCGTCACTGGGCCCCTTCCCATCAGGTGGGCACCCAAAACCTCATCCCAGGTGTCAAGGTTCTGCCGCATCTCGCCCCTGCACGCACCACACGTCCAGCAGGCACGACTTGAATCCCAAGTACATGTATATCCAACTTTCTCCATGACCTGCGCTTGACACCTCTGCCCGCGGCAGGTGGGTGCGTTACTACCTCGCCCACGACTCCCTGGGGCCCACCAAAGGCGTATGGTGGCAGCACGTCGCCCCTTCCAAGTCATTCGACGTATTCAGCATAGACCCCACCCCTAAACTGGCAATCCCGGCGGCAGCCTCAGACCGGGGCGGCAGCTGGGAGCTTGTGCGAACTGCACAGCTAGCACTGAGCGGCACACATTCTGATACTTTCTGGAAAAGTGAGCGTGACACTGAGCTTCGGGACCGCAAGTGCCTGTCTCTGCCGTTGCTGCAGCGTTTGCAAGCGTGGCAGCTCGCGCTGCCGGTTGATAATCCTGCACCCATTTGCCATGCGTGGACATCGTTGCGTACGGGCCCCCAGCCGCACTGCAGGCATGCAGGCACCTCGATGTTGGGAGCAGCTGGCGAGGCTGCCATTATTGAGGCCCCCCTTGCGCTGTCGGCTGAGCATCTGGAGGGGTTGGCACTTGATGCACACGGCCGCGAGGTGGCGGACGGCACCCCCGTGGCAGCACTACGGGTGTCCGATGCGGCGCTGGCTGTGTCGTCCCCGCTGCGCACTATCAGGGCCAGTGAGGAGGCCCTTGTGTGGTTGCGAAGCCATACAGAGCGGTTTCCTCGGTTACACAACGGGTCTTGACTTGAACGCCTTGTCGGACAAGGCGTTCAAGTCTTCCCTTGTCAAGCGAAGCAGGTTGCGAGGGGTTTGGCAGCCGTGCGCCCTGCTGGTGGCGCCACACACCTGGCCACCGAGCGTCATGCTGGGCCTGGGGTTGGTGGTCTGTCATCCGGCAATAAACTGGCTGCGGCGCTTCCCCTGCACACAGCGTGCGGTGCAGTGCAATGCGTTGCAGAGGGAGGTGATGGGCTTGCGAAACTGTCAGGCCTAGGGTGAAATGCTATTGCCACGGCGCCAGCAGCGCCGCGAGTACCAAGCACACAGAGCCCAGCAGCCGTTTGCCGTGTTCGGCTGCAAGCTCTCTTGCGACCCCTGAGTTGTCGCTGCCCCCGTCTTAAAGCCGCGTGCATGCTCACCGCCGGCGCCGTTGGTGCAGGCGTGCCTGACGGGGTGACCCGCACGCTGACCGAAACCGCCTCTTCAGATGTACTGCTTGGCGGGAGTGCGCACGCCGCAGTTCCACGGTGAGAGAGTGTCTACAGGATGCTGCCGCCACCAGCGTGTCGTGTCGTGCAGGTACGGTTCAAATTGCGCTTCAAGCACAGTGAATTATGCGTCCCAACCTTTCCAGCAGTGCAAATTCCTTGTGAAGGTCAGGCCTGATCGCTTGGCAGACAGAGGCGGTCCCCGCTGGCTGCCGGACTTGCACCCAGCAGCAAGCGCATGACGCACCGCCGCTCACCCGGCTCCTCCAAAGGCTAGAGCTAGTACGGCAATCACAAGCATTCCCAGCACAACGATGGCCCCGCCGATAGCCGCAACACCCCGCAGGTTAGCAATTACCTGGGAGCGCACATGAGGGGATATAGGCGACTCATGGGGAGCAGCATGTCAGGACACTATGCACCGGAGAGACCAGAGCAGGCGCCTGCTGCCCACCCGCCGCAAACACATGTCCGCTGTTGCGATCGCGACGCCGCAGCGGCTACCTACAACAGCCAGCGGCTCACCCAGGACGGTGTAACGGTCTCAGGCAGTTCAATAGTGGGAAGTCCTGGCAGATCAAGCGCACAAACCGTCCCTGCTGTGTTGCAAGACCCAGCTAGTCAATTTGGGCATGCGTTTTATGGGAATTTTAAGTACTGCTGCTGCTGCTGCTGCTGCTGCTGCTGCTGCTGACTGTGCGGTCAACCCGGCAGACGCAGCGGTCAACGCAATTGCACCTACAGGCCTGTCACAGAGCGCACCTAGCTCTAGAACGAGCGCAACCAACATTACGGCCAAAGCCTGCGTACTAGTTTTCGCCATCGCGGTGACGGGTTGTCTTGCAATGCGGGCTGCGCCGTGTTCGTGTCGTGCGAGGCGGAAACGATGCGATGTACTTGCCACGGCTTGATTGGCGTACAGTATCCTTCAGATGCTGCTACCTCTGACCACATGATTGCACAGCTTCCGCTGCAACTGCGCATGCACAACAGCAGGATTGCGTCGAGCATGATGTCACGACTGCATGAATTCGAGATGGATGCCACGACAGATCGAGACGTAATGCAGCCATGAAGAGGAGGAGACTTTGTCGTCACACTCGCGTCAAGACTGGACAAGTGGCACAGCTGACACACCTGCCCTGCCTCCCGACATCCCAGGCGTGGATGGCTTGAGCCCCACTACGCAACACACACAGCCCTTCATTCGCCGAGCTGCAAGGCAGATTGCCTGCAAAGTCCTGCCGATTGCGGTGGGCCAAGGCGGCACCTGAGCGAACATGCAGTTACAGACATGTGACCAAGGCTGCGTCACTCCCGGTCCCGCCGCTTCTTTTTCTTGCTGCTGCTGGGCGCCTCCGCTGCCACGCTGCCGCCGCCGCCGCCGCCGCCCTCCTCCGCGTCCTCCTGCTGCCGCTTCTTCTTCTTTTTCTTTTCCTGCTGCCCCTGCTCGCCCCCCTCCGCGCCCACCGCCGCCCGTGCCTGCGGCGTCAGAAACCGCGCGGCGTCCTCGCCCCGCGCCCGCTGCTGCCCCGCCGCCGCCGCCGCGCCCGCGTCCGCGCCGCGCTGCGCGGCCTTGCTCTTCAGCGACGCGGCCAGCGCCTTCACGTCGCCGCCGGCCCCCTCCCGCTGCTGCTCGCCTGCCTTCTTCTCCTGCAGCCAGGTGGCGTGTGTGCACCAGCTCAACAGGGGCCCTCACAATCAGAGCCTCCCGCTGGTGGGGCCAGAGGACGCACCCCGCGACTCGAACCGCCACAAGCCCCTCAATCAGCCCGCCATCAGCCGGCAGGACCCCCCCGCCTCGCACGCCGTGTCGTCTGCCAAAACACACTGCCTCAGCAAGCACGACGCCCCAGGCCCGCACCTTTGGCGCCACAAACGCCTCCTCCCGCCGCCGCTTGGCCGCGTCCGACCTGTCGCGCTGCGCCTCCTCCCGCGCGGCGCGCCTCTTGGCGTCCCGCGCCTTCTCTGACAGGAAGTACTCCCCGCTCTCCAGCTGCAGGTCCACCTTGGAGGGCGCCTGGGGCGGGGGGAAGGGCGTGTAGGCCTTCTTCTCGCGCACCACGTGGGGCTTGCGGCGCGGCACGTTGCGCTTCTTGAACTTGGGCAGGAACCTGGGGGTGAGGGGTTGAGGGGGAGGGGTGTCGAGGGGGACTGGAGGGTGTGTGTTTTGTGTGTGAAGATGAGGGGGGGAGTGCTGGAGTCGCGAGAGTGAAGGGGCAGAGTAAAGGGGAAGAGGGGACACCCTTACCCCTTGAGAGAATGTGTGTTTTGGGGGTGGGATGCCTCCCGTCAGAGGACGCGACTGTCCGTGCTGGCCGCACTGGCTGTCGCGGCGGCCTCCATGCCAGCGCTTCCTTCAATCAGCTGGCTGCGAGCCGCGCCAACGCGAGTGCCCCCCAACCCTTGCTCCCACAACCCCAGCTCCTCCCCCCCCCCTCCCCCTCCCCCCC